CTTGTAACTGTAACTTCGTTACAAGTAACGAGTTACTTCCATTCCCTGATTACGCGATACCCCTTTTGTAACGTATTTCGCCCAATTACGCAACTTTACGAGCCCTTGGTTCGACACGTCCGTCCCGCTCGAACGTCTCGCTAAGACTTCCTTTCTAACATGGCTGACTCTCTTCCCACGCTGTCGGGAAGAAACAGTTCGCTCTGTTTCCCGCGGTCAGTTCGGTGTTCCCGAATCTGGTTTCTTTCTGGTAATAACATTCATACGGCCTTTCGCGGTTACTAATACATCGAATAATTAGGAGTTGCTCTCCTTGACACAAAATAATTCTGGACTTTCCGCTTTAATACATTTCACAGCGGATAATTAAATTTTGTCGTTGAACAAATTCAGCAATGGCCTGTGATTGGTCGATAACTTCCTGGATCTCTCAATAATTATAAAATAAGTTGAAATAATATGAAATGACTCTAAATAATTCGCGTTTAACTCTTTAATTGTTCCTGTTGCTGAATAAATTCAATCACAATACTTAATTAGTAAAATGTTGATATGCGAGTACGTATGTATACCTCTATGTCTGAAATAATTCGTGCTTGACGAAATAATTATAATTACTTTAGAAATGGCTCATTCTGCCCTAGATAATTCAAAATAATTACTGGAAGTGATTTTAATATCTTTAATTACCAAATGTCCCGCATATGAAAATTTTAGTCCCTTATGACACTTTAGCGTGACTTAACGCTATATAACTTACTTGGAACAAACTTTGCTTTACCTTTTGTTAATAATTAATATGGAATCTCTGTATCGAGAACGTACTGAAATAATCGTTTAAATAGCCCTTTGGCTACGTTTAGTAATTTTGATATGTCTATCTTTGTCTTTCCACTATGCTTTGTTCCAAATATTTTACATGCTTCAAATTAATTGTTATCATGCGAAATAATTAGGTTCGTGTAACCTTGTAATGAAATAAATGTTTTTAACTTAATAATATCAAATACTTGCTAATTAATAGCTTCTTACCTTCTAGGTCTTAATCTACTTATACTTTATGTTTCAGGGTCACCCATCATTCTCAGCGATATTTCTACATGGTAAGTATTTTATTTTTTATTTGTGCATTAATTCACGTTGTGCTAGCATAGCTTATTTTAATTATTTATTTTCTTTTTCAGGTTACTCTGCTGGAATGACTCTGAATCGCCTTTTTGTCTTGAGGATTAGGTAGGTTAAGTATTATTTTGGTTATTTCTGTTTTTCCTCTTTTTACTTTTTCTGATAATCTAGTTCTTTTATTAATAAAACATATAAAATTAAAATATCGAATATTCCTTTAAGATCAATTAATATGTAACCTTGGTATTTAGGTAAGTGTAAAATAATTATTGTTTTTCTTTTTGTGACTCTTGCACCTCGGATAGACTTGACCTTGTACAAAAATAACTGTGTAAATGAATGAAAATCATAGATAAAATAATTAAATGCTAATTATGGTGGTCGTGTCGTCCTACTCCTGCTAATTGGCATATGCCGTTCGCGTTGTTGTCTCCGGCTGCTTTGCATCGTCCGGAAATTGCTTCCTTTCCGTCACTGTTATTCTCGGCGTTACGTTCTGTAAAGTTTTTATATTTCTTTTCATAGTTAATTATATATATGGATGGAGAAAAATGCACTCGGTTGCAAGGTTAGGTTGTGACCGGATCACTATGTCGGATCTTTGCGATCTCGGGTCTTTCGTTACTTAAATAATTAATTCGTGTTATTTCACAGGTAAAATGTCTTACCTTTCGGTCGCCACTCTGTTTTCCCATCTAACAGAGAAGGATGTTGAATCCAGGTTGTACCATGGAATCGGGCTCAGCACGCGCGACGTCCCCTTATTGGTGACTTCCTTCTACGCCTTGCTTCGATTTGCCCTTTGGTCGAGATGTCTGGTGTGCCGGAAACGTCTCCGTCGAAGTGCAGCGATATATAACTATATATAGTTATGGTGGTGTTCGCGAAATAACTACGCTTGGGGCTCGTTTGGTGTAACAACTTATAGAATCTTTATTAAAACAACACCAATAATTTATTTATTCGGCCCTCATTCACACAAATCGCTCACTCACACTCGATTCACACTATAAGACTATCTCTCCTTTGTTACGACGTCTCCCTCTAACCTACATTGTCGCGTCGCGTCGCACTCACGACGAAATGGCCGTTAAACAAGATGGCCGCCCGACAAGGTGGCGTGATATTTCATCACCAACTGCGCACAACGGGTTGCTAAGGTTATGACCTCGTTACTACCGCGCTAATTACTCGCGTCGGTTAGCCGGTATCCGTGCCGTGCACGTGTTACTACCGAATATTGGCGTTAGCTCGCCAATTTCCGCACTCTCGCGGTCACTAAGGGATATTTACCCTATTACGCGATTTACACACTTTATTCCGCGTTACGCGTCGTCTAATTCAAGACTAGCAACGATACGGTATATCGCGATACCTGTTTTGTATCCGAATTACGCTTTATTATACAATTTCACAAGCCGTGTGGTTCGACACGTCCGTCCTACTTGAACGTCTCATCACGACTCTCCAGCCAACATGGCTGTTGCTACTGCCTCGGTCTCATGAAGAAGCAGTTTGTTCTTTTTCCCACGGTCGGATCGTGTACCCCGAATCTGGCTCTTTCCTAGTTATATCATTCATTCGGCCTTTTGTGTTTAGTAATACATCAAATAATTAGGAGTTGATCTCCTTTACACTAAATAATTGTGGACTTTCCGCTCTAATACATTTTTCCGCGGTCAATTAAATTTTGTCATTGGACAAATTCAGCATCGCTCTGTGATTGGTCAACTGGTTTCTAATCTCTAAATATGCGCAAACTAAATTGCAATAATTGGAAATGACTCTAAATAATTAATCCTTCGCTCTTTAACAGTTCCTGTTGCTGAATTGATTCAATTTCAATAGTTAATTGATAAAATATTGATATGCGAGTATATCTATGTATGTCTTTGTCTAAGACAATTCGTATATTATGAAATAATTACAATTACTATATAAATGGCTAGTTACGCCTTAGATTGCTCTGAAATAATTACTGTAAGTAAAATTAACGTCCTTGGTTGCCAAATATCTCGCATATTAAAATTTTGTCCTTTGTGATACCTTAATGCGTCTTAGCGCTATACGATTTATTTGGAACAAATCTCACTTTACTTTGTACTGATTATTAATTTGGAATCTTTGTCTCAACATTGTCCTGAAATAATTGTTTATATTGCCTTTTGGTTAAGTTTATTAATTTTGATATGTCTGTCTTTGTCTTACCAATGCGCTTTGTTCCAAATATTTTACATGCTTGAAATAATTATATATCATGCAAAACAATTAGGTTGACTAAACCTTATCAAGAAATAAATGTTTTTAACTTCATGACATCAAATACTTGCTAACTGATAGCTTCTTACCTTCTAGGTCTTAATTCACTTATACTAAATATTTCAGGGTCACCCATCATTCTCAGCGATATTTATTTTGGTAAGTACCTTATTTTTTATTCGTGTATTAATTCATGTTTTGTCCATATATCTTATTTTAATTATTCCTTTCTTTCAGGTTGCTACGCTGGAATGGTTTGGATCGCCTTGCTGCTCTGAGGATTAGGTAGGTTGAGGGCCGTATTCATAGTCAGAACTTATTCTTAAGACCGCCTTAAGCATAGTCTTAAGATGCCCTCTAGATTCATAGTCAAAAAAGAAGGTGGGATTTAAGCAAGTACTCAAGGTATACCTTGTTCAAGATTATCTTATTTGGAAAAGTCTGAATGTGATTCATAAACACATCTAAACATTTGATTGAGGCTACCTTGTTAACCATGAATTCATAATCATTTAAGACAGCCTTATTTCACGCACATATTGATAAATAAGACGATCTTCGCGAAGATGTGTCTGAGTACGTCTTAAGCAGTAATTTTTGGAATATTAAGCGAGATAGTTTGTAAATAGTTGCTTCGGTCGTATTTTATATAAAAGTATATAAAATACTTTTATGTATAATTGACCTATAGTGATAATAGAGGTTTGCATTTTATACTTTCTTCTGTGTTACATCGTTATATGTGCTACAAACTTAACCTAACTATTTTGTTTTGTAATCGTATTTTCACCGGTAGAGTAGCAAAAAACTCTTCTTATTATGACAATGGATTTGGAAAATCTGAGAAATTTAGAGATGGATGAGTTAAATTTTTCGAATGATGAAGAAGAAGAAGAAGAGTGGCTGATACGTGCTCCTAAGCGATATCTCCGTGATTATCAAAATCCTTTTGAATTCTACAGTGAATGGGAATTTAAAAGAAGATTCCGTTTCTCCAAAAATTCAATAATGTTTGGTATTTTACCTTTAGTAGAAGAAGGATTAGCTAAAATAAACAATCGAGGCTTGCCAATATCTCCT